TCAGAGCTTCCAAAAGGCTGTTTTCTCCAAAGTTGATTCTGATTCAAATAAGCAATCAATTTATTATATTTTATGAAGCTGGTAAGAATTGGAGTAATGACATCTACTGTAAAAAATCTTTGAGTGTGTATGGGGCAGTGTCTTGTAAATCACCCAGTTTTCCAGCTTACTGCCAAAGGAGAAAATCTTGAACATAAATTTAGCCCCACACAAGTGGGACTGATGGATCAAGCCCTTCTGATCCTCTTTCAGTACCCTGCCAATATTCTGCCATGTTAGTGCTCTTCTCTTGGCAAAACACATCTTTACATCCTTGACAGGACAAGTTCAAAAGTCTGCTCCTCGATGAACGATGTGTAGCACTTACCCATAAATTGACAATCCAGTTCATTCACGCACAGATTTATTATATCATATTAAAAGGAATGGTGGTTAATGTGTTTGAAATGGAGCATCTCTCCTTCAATCAGGTTTAGATGTGTGAGTAAAATTGGTGTGTGTTTCAGGAGCACCTGGCAGTTCTCAATGCTTGACAGGAAATTTGCACCTGTACTCTCAGGTGTTGACTCTGCAGCTAAATCTGGGCCCAGATAAGGTAGCCATCAATTATATTTGTAGGTCATTAAATTAAGGAAATGTTTAATCAGCAGTTTCCAATTAAATTTCTTGTATTCTTGCACTCAAGACATAAGAGCAGGGCAATTATGCAGGGCTCCCCTCTTTTGTTTGCATTCAGGATTGTGGAAGGGGTTAGGTTTGAAGGATGCTACAGCTGGTGTTGAGAGGCTGTCAAATATCATCTACTACCTACCCACTCAGCATGAGTTAGTGCCATCATTATTGACCACCAGTATAGGAGAGAGACTTGTTTATGGTAGTACATATTCCTGGATTTTTTTTTTCCTTCTGGAGGAGTGAAGGAAGTTATTGCACTTGACTGGTGTTATGAAATAATTGAAATTATTATGGGTTAACTTCAATAATCCTGTAGTAAGGGTGCTCCTTTAATATGTTATACAAAATGATAATCCTTTTACAGAGACACTTTTATGAGGCCTAACAGTAATTGGAGAGTGAATTTCTGATTTTAACAATTTAAAACATTAAGTTAGAGTTATTACTAACATTTCAGATGTGTCCACATAGACTAATAGTGTAGCTTGTTCCTAGAAAAGCAATTAACAAGGATCAGCTTTTCGCTGCAGCATACTGCAGAACAGTTGCTTCTATGGAAAAGTAAATTGGAAAAATGAAGAGTTGCTCTAAGATAGCTGTTCCAAAAAGAAAATATTGCTCTAAACTAGACTTCTAAACAAGATTCTTCTTCTTCTAGATGTAGAAATCTAATTATTTTTGGTAGTATATTGATCTTAGAGGTGAATTCTAACATCTTTACAGAGGTCTAGTTCTGTTGCTTAAGAGTACTTGTAAACTGTTAATATTGGTTTGAAATATTGGTCTTGAGTTCCCAAGAATGTTATTTATTTGAGAAATTACATTGGTTAAACTAATAAGTGAATTTAATAAGTGAACCTTGAGTCAAGGAGCTTTTTGATTATGTCACATAATGTAAATTGCATTAATTATGTGAGGTAGTTATAAGTTATAAGGTATAAGTTATGGAGATAAGGTAAAGTCTTTGTCTGAAGTTCAGTGCTGAAATATATTTCATACTTAAAAGCAGAAGTATTGTTCTAGAGATGCTAAAACCCTTGAATAATTTTGATTAGAGATACCACTGAGAGAATCGTTCCTCCCTATCTCCCCAGGGAATTAATAGCCTATTGACCAGTTTATTTGTAAATTTGAAGCTGTGAATGGTTTTTCCTGAATGAAGTTTATAGATTTTGGCAGAATGATCTTGAGGATTCACTGAATCTCTAAGTCTGAAAGGTTATGTCCTCTTTTGTCCCCCTTGCTGGATGTATAAAGAGCACATCCACTTACTAGTGACTCATTCTGCTAATCGAGTGCTTTCACTAACAAGGAAACCTTCTTGTTAGCAAGTTAAGGTTAGTTTCCCATGAACCTAAAGATTAGGGATACTTCTTTAGTTCACTTGTTAGCAGGCAATTAATGAACAATTGATCAAGCTTGTTTTAAAGATTTTTGTTTAAGAAAAAAGATAGGAATTCAGCCCAAATTGAGAGATACAGATTACCTGTTGAAAGTGGTAGAAGTACTTGTGTGAGAGAGGATTTCTTCTACATATAGGAATATTGAGATTCATATTGGAGTTTGCCCAGCTATATAGCATAGCCTGATGTGGTATGTCAAAGAAAAAGATATATAGCTTTTGTCTACTTTTCTTTCTCTTCCTAAGAGACCTTCATTAATGACTGAAGCAATGCCTTCTAATTTGGAAGACAAATTAATTTCTCATGACCCAAACTTTTAATATGTTTTCTCTTTTGTTATTGTTTTTGTTATTCTGTGTCAGAAAGCCTCTTTGGAAATAATCGTTTTTTGGTAAACAAGATCCCAGCATCCTAATGCATGGAAGGGTGGCATATATCTGAGTATGGTTATAACTATAGCAAGCAAATATTATACCACGAATGCAGAAAGGCACGTGAGTGTTTTCCAAGACATTTTGCAGATCTGAATAGCAAAGACATAGGTGACTGAGAAAATCTTCTATCTCTTGCCAAATTGAGATGTATTCACGGAGAAAAGGAAAAGCTAGTAAAGCATTCCTTCATTGCCTTTAGTATTGAGATAATGAACATATGCGCAGAAGGACTGTTCCCAAGCTCCACTGGATTCACTGTGCCTCTACAGACCTTGCTGGCTCCGGTTAAGTAGATTCCTATCTCATATAATTAACAAGGAAGATATGAGCCTAGGAGGGCGAAAGAAAAAATCTCTCCCTGCGCGAGAGGAGGTCATTTGCTCATGGACTGTTGTTCCTCAAGAGGCTTGTGGCCAGTGGTGGCCTTGATCATTCATGAATGATCCCGCTTTGTAGACTAAGATGAAAAAGGAAGGATGAGATGCTGGAAGGTATAATCACCGTACTTTAAGATAGCTTTTTCCAAATGTAAGATTATGTAGAGGCAGAGGCTAGACAGCTGAAAGCCTTTGAAAGTTCCTTGATCCAAAAATAACACATTTTTGAAATTAGGTGCGAAAAAATCATTATAAGGAGCAGAACTTGAGCACCTTCCAAAGTGTCTTTTTCTTCCTTAATGGAAAACTCATTTTTTATAGAGTTTTATGCATTGCTATGTGTTTTTCTTTTAAAACTACTGTACATCAGTGAAAGTTTGGTTAACGCTTAATTATTCATTCCTTTCAGTTTTCACTTGGTTTAAGGATTGATGTCATTAGGGAAATGTCCTCCTTTTTTCTACATTTGGCTTTTCATATCTGTTGTTACTACTTTGTAAAAATACAGTCACTTGATATTAGCCATCTTCTATTTTTGAATTAACACGGAATGTGATATCCTGTAAGAACAGCTGTGGGAAACTTGTAAAAAGCTGCCTGTTGTGAGTCACTTAGTGCTAATGAAATAAGTGGTAAAATAGCAGCTCATCATGGTACATGTATAATAATAATTCTACAGTAAAGTATCCTTTATAATCTAAAGCTGAAGAAATTACTTTCCCAGCAACCACCATGTTAAACTCGGTAAAGATTGCCAAGTGCACTTTAATAAAACAGAAATGTTGCCATGTTAATTTAGTAATTCAGAAGGTATAAATATTAAGGTTCTGTCAAGTGGTGGTTGCTACATTTGTACAATATGAATGATCATATTAAGTAATATAGTAAAGTTACAGTTTTACTGCATCTAAAGCAACCTGTAGTGCAGTGTTGTCCTCAGGTCTGAACTTGCAGCTAAGCACAACCTAGACCTAAAGAATAAACTCAGAATATGGACCATTCGGTTGCCTTCTCTTCATTCCTTTCAATGTAGGTGACTCTCAGTTGTCTGGCTGTACACACAACAGCTCATCATCCCCGTTCAGGTAAATGGTAGCAATGATGGCAGAGAGGTTTCCTGCCTGCAAGAGCACACCTGGGAGTTTTCGATAAATAATTGAATAATTGAGGCATTTTTGTATAAAACGTAGATCACATCTTCGAGCAATTCTCAGGAACCCCTGCTGGGGAGGAAGAAAAACAGCACAAAAATCAAGAAGTCAGTCAGCTCCCATTTAGAAAGAAGAGTATCTGAGAAGCAGCCATACTTTCTTCCCACTGGTATTATAAAATGTGATTTCTTGAAAAATTGCAGAGTACTCTCCCAGTAAAATGCTTTCCCTTCGTATGGCAACATGTAGATTTGCACGTCTCTGCCATGATCATTTTATCTGAAATAGTTACAAATGGAATTACAGAGGGAAAAGAAATTGATATAGTAATTTAATTCTGTTTTACTTTCCTGACTCATTCTCATCAGTTTGCTTACCAATTTTCTGTCATTTCCTTTTGAATTGCTTCTTGTTACTGAATTCTGTCAATGTCTGAAGTTATAGGAATATAGGAATATAACTTGTATTTGTATGCACAACCTAGAAGAATTTGAGAATCTGCTAACTGTCATAAAGTTTAGATTATTTGATTTTTAAGTAATCTATGTCATGTATACTGTTTATTCTCATTTTGAGATTTGCTGTTAAAATGAGAGTACAGTTTTGTGTGGACTGTTTTATTTTGTTTCATTTTCCTTGAGGAAGTGAAGGTGAATGTACAGGCAGAGGGCAATTTCTTAAATATCAGCCTTCTTAAAGACTAGGGCTATTGTTTTTTGAAGGCTGAGTTGCACTGTATCATTTTCACTATTCATATATATCTTCTGCAAATATTGCAGTTATTACTGGTCATATCTAATGCATATTTTTTCTTTTTTTTTTTTTAAGTTGTTGAAATACAGAGCAGAGCAAGAAACAAACACCAAGCCTTGGGCAATTGAATTTTTTTCCCTAGTTATACTGTCTGAAGTATTATTTGCCATTTTTTCTGTCAGTTCATGTTCGCATACTCTATTGCAGGTCAGTTCCTCCTAGAAGAATCCCGCCTGATAGAAGCAGCTGAAATGGCAAAGAAAGCAGCTGAACTAGATAATACAGAATTTGATGTTGTTTTCAATGCAGCCCATATGCTCAGGTTAGTGCTTTTACATCTGCTTTATTTGATTTTCTCCCTTCTTTTCGGGGAAGTCTTTACAGTCTTTGCTTACACAGAGCTTTTTAGACCCCGGTGTCTGTTTTGAGTCGTTCATTAGTAGCAGCTAGGTAAAAAGAAATGGAGTGAAACTTTTGCACAGTTTAGCACTGTCTATTTTTAATGTTCTATGTGCTGACTCGTAATTTATTACCTTGGAAATTTCTGTTGTTCACACAGAAGTAATCCTTTTTGCTTGCATATGAGAACGAGTATTCTGAAGAACCTTCTGCAGGATTTCCTTTCACCTGGTTTTTAAAGATTTAGGGCACATAGCAACTGCAAATAAGGGACTGTAATTCTGGTCTGGCTTTTACTAGATAATATTGAAAATATTGATTTTTTATTATTATTAACATGAGTTGGAACACTATGATAATTAGAAACCCAAATAGTCTCAAGCTAACGATAACTTTGACACACAGGGCCAATTAATGGTATTATCAGAATCTATGATTTAAAATGTAGTCTTCTGTTCTCTTATCTGAAGAGAATAAAATTGCAGGCTATTTGCTTTTGCAGCTGACGCACCTGGATATTCAGTAAAATTAAGTTTCTGCCTGAGCAGTATCATTAAACCCACATTACAATAATAGGTATCCACAAAGCTTTTTCCTAGGATAACTATCTAATTATTATCTATTGTATACTTAACAGGTATGAGAACACTTGATTTCATTTAGGCTGTATCTATATTTAGAAAATGCATGAAAAAGGAATAAAAATTATACTTCATTAGCACAAAGCTCTTCTTGGAATTGTTTCTCTAATGAAGATCTCTTGCTTGGCTGTTTATACTTTTAACATTTAAGGTAGAAAATAATGGCAAAAGAAAATGGTATTGAAAATAAGGAAGAATCAGCTTCCGCTGAGTGACCTACATTTCAGAGTGAAGGTTTCTATACCAGGATTTTGAAATAAGCCCTAAAATGCCCTTTGAGAAAAAACTCTTACATTAGAAATGAAACCAAGACAAAAGGTTTGCTGGTAAACATTTTGTCAACCTCCAAGAGATATATAAATTATTTAAAAGATTCTTCCTTTTCTCCTGATTGTATTCTAAACATTATCTCCTCAAAATAGTGTTCATTAAAATCAAACATTTATGTTAATGAATCAAATTCATAGAAATAAGCATGGCAAATTACACATGAAAGCCTGAATCCAGGAGGGTTTAGAGTGATAGACTCCTATGGATTTCACTGGTGAGAAGTGGAAGATGGTTTAATTGTATACAGTGGTTTTGGTTTTTAAAACATACTGGAGTAGATCTAGTAAAAAGGTTGATCAGTACCGTTTTGAAATGCAGTTTAATACATCTCTCACTTGCTCTGCGACCACTGAATGAAGTACATCAGATCTGGAAGGCACATATATTTTTATCTATGCGAATGAGTATTTTTTATTCACTCCTAGAGCCGAATCTGTGCCTCTGTGTATGTTTCAGTCACAGCTACTCTGCTTGATCTGTTTGGGATCGGAGGTTTAGGAGGTTTTAACCAGCACTGAGCTCAGTGATTCTGAGTTGTGCTCTGTATTTTATTTAATGCTAGGCACAAATCAAAAACTTAAAAAACAAAGAAACAACCCCCCAGAAACAAAACAAAACAAAAAAAAAACTTTCTGTTTAGTTCAACTGATGCTCCCTTAGGATTCCCAGTTGGTCTAATTTTTCATTTCAATACTCAGTTTTCTTTGTGAAGGATCCTAATGTCTCCCTAATGTCTTCCGAATATTCTCTCAGAGTCTCAACTTGTTTCGATGATCTAGCGAGAGTCTGGGTGGCAAAGTTAAGCTCAGTGCTGCCAAGTATTTGCCAAAGACCACATGTATTATGATCTGGCCGATTGTTGCTAAAAAACTATGATCCTAAACAAAGATCCTGGCTAATGTTTCTGCCTGCCTTTGTTCACTGTTTTATTTTGCAATTTATTCAACATATTGTTTGCATATTAGCCACTGGACAAACGGAGTGTATATTCATATGTTAGTACAGAGCAGCTATAAATCCCTCATAAGTTTGTGGGACTTCAAATAAAGCTGATTTTCAGGATATTTAGACTGGAAGAGAACTGAGATGATTCTGAAAGGAAACCAGATATACAGGATACAAGTATGGAAAAACAGGGAAGGGATTAGACAGACTGGCATAGAGTGATGCAGCTAGAGGTTATGGTATGGGTGATGGGAAAGAAAGATGCTAAAAATGTTACATGAAAGCCTCAAATTATTAAATACAGTAGTTTAATGTAGGCATGAAGTGCCAGAGAAAGCTCTAAAAACCACATGGCAAGTAAGAATTTTGAATGGACTGCGCGTCTGTGAGGAAGAAAAAAAATCACATGCCAATAGTTGCCAAGGCAGCAAAATGAGTTAACTGTGGGGAGAGAGAAGGGATAAATTTTTAAGATGTGTTTTGGATTAAGAAGAGACAGAAATTGGAATTGATCTGGATGATGAGCAAGGTGTCCAAAATGACAGGAAGGTAATAACAGGAAAGAATTTTTTGAGCAATTTCTAACAATTCTTGCAGACCAAATATTCTACCAAGTGATATACTGCTGAATTAGAAGGGTGTCAGCTTTCCCTCCTATCATATTCCCATTTCCACCATTATCCCAAGGAGCATCGCATGATTTAGAAATGTGCAGACATTACTTCAAAATTGCAGACAAAGCCTGTAGAACTGTGTTAGAACTGCTTTAGATCGAGAACCATCACAGCCTGTTTCCAAGAATGATTTATTTTTATACTCTAGTGCTAAAATATTTTTTATTCCTTTACTGTCTAATCAAAGCTTTTAAATTAAAATGCAATCTAAATAAATATTCATTTATTCAGTTTTGAAAAGTATTGAACAAAGCATGGATTGTGTTTCTTATTCCTTTTTTTTCTTTCCCTTAAGTTTGGAGCAGAATTAAGTGTGTCAATAAGCAATAGCTCGTTTTATACATAGCCTGTTCTTAGTTTAGCAGGCACAGAAAACAGACTTCTACTCCTTAGGTCAGATTCTCCAACACTGTTTACATCCTGTCTTTGTGACAAGTGAATTGAAGAAAAAGTAAAAAAGGAAAAAAGGATTAGTTCAGCTCGCATCATTAAGGGACCCTCCCTGCTCTAATTACACAAACATGGTTATTAAGTTCTTGCACTGCTGACTGCTGTTGAAGCCTGATAACACAATGCCAGATGAATCAAATCATGAGCAATAGAAGTGAGATGTGGAATGAATGTAATTAATTTCTTTACAACAGTCTCGTAACTTATAGCTTGTACAGAACTTGATGGTAAAAGTTGTTTTTTTGCACCATATTTGCCTTTCAGACAACTTCATTCCAGGATCACGTTGCTGTTCAAACACTTCTTTAAACAGTAATAGGCTGTGTGTGTGTGCTACTTTTGTAGTATTTGGTCTGCTCTTGCTTATAGCTTCAGTTTTTGAAGCCTTTCAGGAAAGCAGCTTGCACTTTAATGGAATGTAGAGAAGCACATATTTGAAATCCTTGATGATAGCTGTAGCTCTAGTGACTAAGAGGAATTCCATATTAGGAGTGCTAATTTTCACTTAGATAGATTTCTTCTGGTCTAAGGCGTGATTACTTTTAGAATGAGGCCTGGCAATGCAGTGGAATCCCTGTACTAATTAGAGCCAAAGAGCTTAACATTGTCTCCAAATGAGAAGCAGCATGAGAAGGAGAGCTTGGCTTAAAAGCACATTTTGTAGGAATAATTGGGTTCTTCCCACTTTGGGAAGACAATGGGTTGCTCTGGGCAGCACCTGTATTTCATGGAGTTATTGCACATTTATTGGCTGTTCGAAAGGAGAAACTTAAACTAGAGTCATACAACATGATATGGCCTTTATTTTCCTTTGAATTTCTCCTGGAGCATGAGGGCTTTCCAAATTGCACGGTCCATTTGAACATACAGTGTGATCACTGATTGTCATAGGCATAAGTTCACCCTATGTTATTGCCTATGCAGTTTTAATTCATTCTATGTCTGTTTAAATGTATACATGTATGTATATGCACATAGTAGTCTTTATAAAATTTTATTACTGTTATAAAACAGAAATGCTGGCTAAGGACGTGTGTGGAATGATTATGGATTAGTTGTGACTCAAAATTTTCCATTAAGAATCAAAATTCTGTATTTTAAAATCAGTACTTCTTGAGATACCTATAGGTACCTGGCTAGACAGACATCCATGATTTCACTTAAAAATCAGAAAAAGGGAGACTGAAGCTTTAGACCAATATGTCCCTTTCCATACAAATATTTATGTATCAAAACCAGCCAACATTGTTGTTTTTCTATTAGAGCAGTGTTTTCTAGTGATCAGTATCAATTTCAAATGAATCAAATTTGAATTTAATTTGGGTGTCAATAGAACCTAAGAGTCAAGTGTTATAGGTCTGGAGCCTCACGTCTGGGGATATGAGAAAGCAAAGTGAGGAGACATTTTTGTCTTTTACAATAAGACTAAAAGTTAAGTGTTAAACTGTGGAGATGAGATGTGTTTTCAAGGTCAGCCCTCATGAAAAGATTTAGGAAAAAGGTTGAAATACAAGTCATAAACATGACAAGAGCTGTGTCTTCCCAACTTCTCCTTGTTTCCTTTCCTCCTCTTCTATCACCATTATTTTATCTAATGTTTTGCTCTGATATGAATTATGTTTCCTTTAGTAGTGACCTTCCTTGGTTTGACATTGATCCAGAGCCCTTTACTGCTTCGTGGCATAGGGTTACTGCAATTTCCTACCTCTGTGCCTTTTATTTTTCTCAAGGGAAAGCCATTCCTAGGCTTAACGTAATGAATTTCTAGTTTCGATTTCTAGTGAAAATGTGAACCAGAATTCTGCTGCATCTTAAATAAATTGTTCCTGAACGCCCCAGTAATGGAAGTTGCATTTTCCTGACGAGATTAGTGTGGTTTGCATTCATGTATATAAACTGTTTTTAATAGTGAACTATAAATTCAAACTAATTTTAACTTGGAAATGAATCTCCAAGATGTATTTTTGGGAAAGAAAAGACACAGTGTATTTCCACGGGGTGGAAAGGGGACAAGATTTTAATTTGTTCCATGTTCATGTGCCAGCAGCCCTTTTTTTTTTGGAGGTAAAGTGTATTGTGTGTCTCTGCCCCCTGGGTAAGGCACCTTGTCTATGTACAGAGTTCCACTGCATTCAGAAATACTTTCTTTCCTGACAGTTCAGTGTAAAAAAGAAGAGAAAAAGAGCTCTATGAGACGTTTAGTTTTATGCCTTTTATTAGGTCCTTAAATTCAGAAGTTTGAGTTTTGTGTTGTTTTTGTTGCTCTTATTCAGTAGTTTCAGGTGCTGCTAATGCCCAGCAGGAGTGATTCAGAAGCGTGTTAGTATTTTTAGATATTCAGTCATTTCTAATGGCTTGAACCACTGAGTTGAATACATGTGCAAAATAATGAGTGGGCTTTTTTTTTTAATAGCTAACTCTTCGTAATGGAAAAAAAAAGATATTTTTTTTCTTTGTGTGATTCAGTAATATGATAATAACAGGGGAAACATGACCTGATGTGTAGGCCTGCTTAGCTGTTCCTATGCATTTACCATCTCTTCCATGACAGTTATGTGATTAACTAATACCTGTGAGTCAGTAGCCAAAATGAAAAATTGAAAGGAATCTGGAAAGGTGGAGGCAAAAGAAAGGGGTAATGAGAAGAAATAAAAAAGGACTTGGTGAAACAAAAAATTGCTTTAATTTCTTTAGTAACATACTGTGGTTTTTTTAGAGGTATTAAACTGAAACCTGACAGTGAAGAAATAATCTCCTAGAAGTTAAACTCCTGGCGGAGTGTAATTGGCATCTATAATAATATGGAGAAGGAAAATGCGGGCTGAGGGTGGGTCATACACTCAGAATCCATCCCACTCCCCTGGGCTCTGGGGGGTCTAGGCTGAAACGCCCTCTCAGTCTGATGTGAGCAGATGTTGAAATGTGAACTTCCTCTTCCAGATGAATTCTCTGAATCACGGAAAGCCATTTTTGAGAAATCATTTCTCAGACTGCCCAAATGGAAACGGAGCCTCTCCTATAATCTAAATAACCAGAATTCCTACTGACTTTCCTTTTACCTTTCATTTGCCCTGCAAGAAAAGGAGTCTTTCTGCAGGGAACCAAGAGATTTCACTTTGCAGTGGAAGCCACAAGAAGCTTTAAAGACTCCAGAGCTGCGTACGCACCAGAAGTGGAACTAGATCAACTTTATTCACTGCATTTATTTCTTTGAATGCTAGTGTTCTTGGGGAGGCACAGAGACATAAACTACACTATTGACCCACAGCTTCATAATATTCTGTTGAGGTATGGCAAGTTTAGCAAAAACTGGGCCAGATTTTCCTCTGGCCGTGGTCATGGACTTGCCTGCCTCCAGTTTTGGCTCAGATGAGTGTGTGGTCTTCTGCATTTTTGTCCAGTGTGTACTAGTACTATTTCGTAACTGAATAGAAAATAAAGAATGGAAGGAGGGTTTTGTTAGAGGTAATAGATATTCTGAACTACAAAAGATTTAGATTGGTACACTTGGTGCATATTAGGCTAATATGCTTAAAGAGTGGTAATGGCAGAGTAATTGTGGACTTTTTATATTATTTGTAGATATGCTTTCTTTTTTAACTGAAGAAAAATGAGGTTAACTGCTGGTTTTTTTTTCCTCTCCTGATAGACAAGCCAGTCTCAATGAAGAAGCTGAAAAGTATTACGAAATGGCAGCAGCATTAAGACCTAATGTAAGTACTCTCCTAATGCCATCCATTACTTAAATTGATGAACTTCCTGCAGTGCTGAACCCTTTTTGTTGAGGAGAAACTTGCAGCTGCACTGTTTGCTCTCTCACCCTGCACTCTGTGTGTTCTTCTAAAGGGTAATTTGGAGGTAATTAGATAAAGCCATTCATTTGTCACACCAATCACTATACTTTCTGATCATAGTGCAATATTCTAGCAACAGGTCCTATTTTATTAACATACTTCAAAAAGATTTGTAGTTTCAGGCATATTTGTCTGTATTTAAATATGTGTTGGAAAGGTGGTTCTAGTACTAGCTCTATTAAGTAATAAGGAGATAATGAAATTCTATTTCATGATCCATTTTAAATAATACATATATGTCTTTTCCTGCATGGTGAAGTTCTGGCAATAATGTTCTTCAATAAGCTTAAAATACCTCAGATGTATTTTACTGTGTACAGTTGGCAACAAACAGTTCATCCTTTGAAGTGGAAGAATGTAGGATTATATGAGAGTTCCTTTTTATAAAAATCCAGATAACAATATAATTTTTAAAAAATAATAATTTATGCAAATGAAATCAGAAAGAACTTTTGCACCATCTGTTAAAAAAGATCAAAAATATATATTTCACTTTCATCATCTTCAACATAAAGCTTCTCTTCTTCAAGCTTTTCTAAGTTTAACTCTCTAGCTAAGCATAGTATGTATAGGGTTCATAACATTTATAAATATTTTTTTAATGATGCAGAGAGGGTAAGATGTATCTGGTTTTCACTGGACCTTTCTGGAATACAAATCTAAGGAAAAATTATGACATTTCCCATACACTTTTGTTGTTTTCTTTTTATTAAGTGTCAAATTTATTGTAATCATTTCAGGGTGGAATGAAAAGAAATCACTCAAAAAAACAGATTGTCTAGGCAGTGAGTAATGTCATGTGGATGTGGTAACACAGAAGTTCCCAACCTCCCTTCCAAAGGAGGATGGAATATAAATTGGCTGGACACAGTGAAATTCTGTACACTTAATAGCTACATCTATACTGGTAAATTAAATGTGCCCAGGACTGTTTTCTAGCATTCAGCCAGCTGACATAATGGTCAGGGAGGCTGCAAAGGTCCCAAACAAAGCGGTACGGGAACTTTAACATCTTGAAAATGTAGATAATGAAGTGGTGACCTGAAACATTCCTTACTCACAACTAAGCTTATTATTTTGGATGTAGCCTGTGTATCTTGGCACTGTTTTGTGAATATAAAGGATCAGCAAAATTATCTAAGCCAACATGCTAAAGAAATATCTTTATTTCAAGGCAAATGAAGACTTTGTTTTGATTTTTGTGTGTTTCTAAAGAGGTGAAAACATTTGTTTAGTAGTCACATCAAAACATGAGATGTATGAATGTGATATAAGGTACATCTGTACAGATACATGATGCTCCATAAATACTTTTGTGTGTACCTGTATAATATTAGTTGCCAAGAAATCTGCTCCCACATTCCCCCCATTCAGTGAGAATACTGTGGCAGCTCTGAAGTCCTCTGGTTTAGGCAGTGGGTTAATCTTCTTAGAACAATTGAGTGGTAAAACCAAAATGCTTCTTATGATTCTTGAGGCCGTACCTGTTCATGTTAGTGAACTTTGGATCAGGATCCCAAGTAAACCAACATGTTCTGCGTTTCTTCAAGATATATATATGTTTTGTTTTGTTTTTTTTTTTTCTGCATTTCTCCAGTAATTTCTCTAGATTCAAAGTTGAAGCTCCACTTTTCTGTCACCAACTCTTCATTCTCTATACTCAGAAATGTACATTATTAATTTCTCCCTCCTTAGGATTTGACCAATGCCTACTTCCTGAGAAATTTTCAGCTAGTTCAGCCTAAAATAAAACTCAGGTTTCAACTTGCTTGTATTAATTTCATTATAAATATTATATATCATGTGTTATTGCTAATACCTCTTCTATAAAATAGCACCCTGAGGGGCAGTGAGAGGTACTAATAATACTATAAACTGTTCAATCTTTTACTGATTGCTCGGAAATTCAGGTGCTCACCTTCAGGTTATTTCCATTATTCATAACAATTTTGTCCTTAGCATGCTCACTTTTACCTCGCTTTCTCCAGTCTTTCAAGTGTTCCTCTTAGTTTTGGAGTGAAATCTTGCTTCCTACCTGCCCCTCAAGGCATAAGCGCTTTGGATGCACAAGCTGCTGTGCTGTGTTGAGACTTTCTATAGTCATTTCCAATTTAAATGTCCTCCTTTCTCTGGGGCTATCTGCTTGTCAGTTATGACCCTGAGGGCCCTGCATATCTCAGGAGCTTCACCTTGGATGTTCCCAGGGTCTCTCCTGGGGCTAAGCAGCAATCATGCAGGAAATGGAGCTGCTATATGGCAAAGGGTGCCACATCTAATTGACTTCGATGTGATATGCTTGCTTATTTTAACATACACAGCAGGGACATTTCAGAGCCTGAGACAGAATCAGCTGAGACTTGAGATTTTAGTATAGTTGTGACTAAGGAGACTGAACAGTTTAGGCTAAAAAACGAACAGAAAAGAAGTGTTTAATTACAGAAGAAATACAACTCTGAAATTTGTATTCTGAAAAATACAAATCATTGTTTTTGAAAAGCAAAGCAACAGGATCATATTTTCACAGTATGGTTTCATCATTGAATTAATTGTTAATTCTAAAAAGTGCTGGAAGTGACATTTATTATCTTTGCAAAAATGTTTATTACACCAAGTAAATAATATGTGCCCAGTAGAGGAGCAATCAATTACAGCTAAGGGGAACTAAAATATATATCTGTTCCTTGGACATCATCTTCCCTCTTGGATGCAGTTCTGATCTGCATCTTCGTTCTGCAGAGAGTAGAAGAATTATAGCTCTTTGGTACAATAGAAGCAGCAGCTAAAATACAGCATGGACATAAAGAAAAGACAAATCTGGCTAGTATTATTCCAGCTTTGGATCTAAGTGTTCTCTTAATCATGTTCATGATTGGCTTTATTTGCGATAGAGGTGTATTTAGCCTTATAGTAATTTCCAGTCAAATTTCAGAAGCGCGGTGCTTTTTGTAGAATACAGTGTGTCTGCACAAGTCAGAGTTGTTTTTCTTAAACTTCACTGATGAAGTGGATATTCCTCAGGTTATACTTACCTATTTTCAGTTGAATAAAACTCAACACACAGTTAACTTCCCTGGGAGAGCTAAGGGGGAAGAGGAGAAGCCAGGAAGCATTTTGGGGTGGGGATGTTTTGAGAGCTATGAATCATGATTTATTCAGGACTCTTCTCCACCAACTCTATCACTAATTTAGAGATACTACTTCCCTAGGCTCTTGACCGTTTTGAATATTTCCTAAAAATTGCATTTCCACTGGGCGCGTATATTGGGATGGAAACAAAATCATTTAGAGCCTTCTCAGTGAGACGCGCATATGGGTTAATTCTAGCAGGTTTGCTTGGATGTGCTTTAATCATTGTAAGGCAGCCTGGCTCTAACAAATGCCACTGGGTGAAGAAACGGAAAGCATAAGTTTCCTGGACAACAAGACATTTTTGCAGTAATTATTCTGAGTGGGAATACTGCTGAGAAAAGTCTATATTCGGAGAAAGTTTCTAGGTGCCCTACGTCTTGTAATGTTTGCAAAGCAGGAAATTGTTTGAACATGTTGTTAGGCCCTCCAAAATGTGCTTTAAGCTCCTTTTGTTGTGGAAAAATCAGTCATCCAGAAACTTTCTTTAAAACTACCTTTCTGTACAAGAATGTCAGATATTCACTTAAGCTTCAACATTTATTCATCTTTTAAGGCGTCACTTCTGTAATCGTACAGCATTTCTAATTTTTTAAGTCTGAACTTGAAGCAGCTGATCCTTAAAAAGTGGCTCTAGAACCGCCACATATGGCTGATAGATCTTGAGAAGAAAGGGCACTTTGAAGAGTGACCTCAAGGGTATTAAATGAAAGAAAGCCCACCAGATCCTTAAGACTTTGAGCCACCACCTTGAGCTGATTGGCTTAGAAGCATTCCTCGAGGAGATGCCATGACCTGAAAGCCACTACCCTCCCAACCACATATTAGTGCTGCTTACAATCTGGAGCTCCTGACAGCTTTAAGCCCCTGTCATCGGCACATTGTCAGATACAGCTGTTTCCACTCCACCACTTCAAAAGAGCTTGATTAAATGTCTTACTGTAACAACATACATAAAGACACACACATAGACTGAGGAGGAAAGAAAAATGTACCTATAAGCAAAATAAATATAATTTCCACTAGATGGTTTAATCATGATGTGAGGGACTAAATCATTCGTTGACTTGAAGGTCTATGTAACCAGTTAACACAATATCATATTAAAAAGCAGTTTCTACAAGAGCATCTTTTATTTTTTTTGCCCAAATCATGGAATAGAGATTTAATGACAAAGGCTACAGGCTTGCAACAAATTCTACCTAGAACTGTCTAACAGCTGAAAGAAGAATGGTAGTGATTTCCAGGTAATTGAGTATATTTTTATAGCCTTCACATTGATAACATGCTTTCAATGCCTCCAAATGGCAAATGTTTGGAATTTATGTTTTTATTTGTGACAAGACCTCTAAAGGACAGAAAATTTACTTTCTATTTGTCATATATCATATAGTACATATAGTACATATATTAGTAATTCTTTCACTCTGCTTGACCAGCCTAGGAGTAAGTGTGAGGGAGATGGCTTTAATGCACTTTGCCAGCATTGTTAAAGGCATGTCCTTTTTTTGCCAAAGTCAATTTTAATAAAACTTCAAACACCTCCTGCTCTGTTAGTTCTGCTGCTAATGGTAGAAACGAATTGTGAAGCAGAGATGCCTGTAGCTAATCCTCAACTGGAGAAAAACTAGCACTGTTCCTTGCTTCACCAGATCCAATCTCCTCCTCATACTCCTCCAGGGGTATAGCAATTCCATCAGCAGTGATAAATGTATTGCTCCAGCAGCTCTTTT